GTTTCATGAATGTTACAACTACAGAAAAGAATCATGGTAACAGTTTACAAAGTAATGGTATGCTTGTCAAACAGTTCTTTCTCTTGCTTGGCATCATAGTTTGAAGATGATCCAACCTGGATTTTGAAAACAGTTATTAATCAGCATTTAAATACCATATGTTTGGCCTGTGCATGAATTCCTGTAAAGAAAGCCAAATACAATGTCTGTGTAAGTGCAGTAGTGAGTAATTGCTACTTCAACTTGAATCTTACTAAGAAATTATGCCTCTTTCCAGGGGTAATCTATGTGTTGGTGTTTTAGTGAAATAATTTTTCCTAAAATTTACAAAATTCAATAAAGTAGGAAACCAGTATAATTAGTAAGAGGTCACAAAATCTTCATGTCACAAAAGAAATATGAAAATTCAATTTTAGGCAAAATTTAAATGAATGTAAAATACTAATATATCAACACTTTCAAAGAAATTACCATAAAAATGGGAAAATGAATTATATATTTAATCAAAACATCTTTAATTTAAAGACATCAATTTTTACCTGATTTAAACACATGATTTTATTCCCTCCTTGTTCTAGTAAAATTTTGAATTGTTAAAACAATTTTCAACGTCTAAAATATTAAATTATACCTTAATTATCATGTGCATAAGTATGTGATCTTAAAATCAAAATTCTGTCATCTTTAACAATAACAAATATATAATTTGATAAAAGAGTTTAATGATACAATTTGTACTATAGTTTCAAGGTTTTCTATTTCATTTCAAATTTTGTAACTTTTTTAGGTACTTTGAAAAATAAATCCAGTATACATGTGTACATTTCACAAGTAGAAATATCCTATAACAATTCTCTGTACATCTGCTCACTATTCTCTGTACATCTGCTCACTATAATGTATGCTTGCATATTAATGTGCAGTACAAATTTGTAAACATGAATATATGAAACTTTGAAAGGAAATGATACTAGCCGTTTTCCTCGCAATATTGTATTGAAACAGCATTTCAAAAATTGGCCAGCACCACATTGGTAAATAGTTTTAATACTGGATATGTTTCAAATGTTCTGTGTATCTATTTGTTCTGTTTTATATTGTCATCCAAACCATGTTTATTTGCACAGTTTTAATACAAATTATCATTTAATTGCAGTCCAAACTTAAGAAGATTAAATATATATGAAGGCACTTACATCAAAGCAACAACCACCAATGCCTAAACTATGCATTAGGTTTATTTTAAACTGCTGCAATAAACATGTTAAATTCCAGTGAAATGAAGTGGTAAACTGTTGCTGTATGCCAGGATATTATTGTTATTTTGGATAAATGAAGATTTTTCAGCACAAAAGCAATGTATGTCTAAATTGGAGTAAAAACATTGTACTTCTACCCTGTCAATTCAATTCACAAAATACAGTACACGCAATTAGACATTTCTAACTATATTTAAATCTGAATTGCCACGTAAGTATATATAATTGATAGTATAAGTATGCAATGATTAGATGTTCTTTGTAGCATCTCTTTTTGAGAAGAGGAAGGAGAAAAAGCAACATGGTATAAATTATTTTAAAAAAAAAGTAGACGAAAACCCTACTGGTTGTATAAATTACAGTGTAACATCTGGAATTTATCAAATTGTATATTCAAATAAGGAAAAGATTTGTTATTGACATTTAGTAAGGAGATGTCAACTGTTTATTACCCTACTATATACATGGACATGCAGCACTATTGTCTCAAAGTAGCTAACTTTGTCATCAGCATATTTGTAGATTTTTGTAAAATATATTTCAAATATTTGTACAAAACATTTATTTCAATCATTTTCTGGCTTAGCATTGCAGCAATAACAGTTAAAAGATACATGTTATCAGCTTTATGTGCACCATGATTTTTCCCAAGGTGCATACTATAAATGATTAGGAGAATAAAAAGGGAAATATTCCATAATGTCCAATAAAGATGCTTGTCTTTATTCATTGTTGACACTTTTTCAATTCGTCAGCACATAGAACTCTGATCATTCAAAGACTGATTCACTGACTCATCACTTGCTGATTCTAATTGTTGATTTCTTCTCACGCCATAGACACATTTTAACCTCACAAAAGTAGAATGAAGTCATATGGACTAGGAATGGATCCATGCCTAACAGCAGTGAAATACCATGATTATTTATCTTTGTAGCTTGAAGAAAATATAACTTCATTTTTGTAGTACAGTGAATAGGAGAAATGATATTAATGTTTGAAGACTCTGACATTATGTGATCTAAAATTATGCATTAATTTTAAAATGCAATGTTCAGAGGCCTTAGTCCTTCTGTTTAGTGAAAAAAATAACAGTTTTGATGTTCTAAGTTATGTGACCTAAAGTTATCTTTTGGTAATTAAAATGTAATAAATAGAGAGGATTTATTCTGTGTTTTGCCAACAGACTCAAACTTCAGTTCAAGTCCTTGATTTAATCTTGACTTACTGTTCCACAAAGTAGAATCTTCCTGACAAGAGAATCTGACTACAGGTTTCAGCTTGACTGGGAGTTGTGCAAAGATAAAGCAACATTCAATTATTTCCTGACTCAATGTACAGGTTTTACAGAGTTGATGAAAAGTTTATTTTCTTTAGGTTTATTTGGGGTAATGCATATAACCAGGTCAGGTTAAGAATCAGATTTTATATATCTAGATAGTTAATTAAGATGTTTTCCTTTCAAAGGGAGAAAGGGATATATAGTAGGTATGGTTAAACAAAGTGGAATTGGCAGTTTTGATTATTAGACTTGGGGATCTATGAAGTATCATTTGGTCACTTTTATTTGCTAACTATTTCTTACTTTGTCTAACTAGAGTGGTTTTGATTTTTGTAGGCTTTTAAAGCAAGCCTAATATTTAGTTGATGCAGTTGAAATTAATGTAATTCCACAGCATTTTGTTTTTTATTCCATAACCACAGTCTCAATTTACCAAGTTACTCAAGTTTTGCACCATCCTATTTGGGAGTAAGTATTTATTCAATACAAAACAGTAAGGGCATTAAGTATTAATTGTGCATGAATTAGAGGTGTTAGCAATTTCCTGCAGATGAGTAACTTGCTCAGGAGATAGGGGCCTGCTTACTGAACTTCTTGAGGTCTCTTCCAAGTCTAATGTTCTATAAAGGCTTTCCCTTGGTAACTTCTTCAATTAAAAGTATGAAATGTGAACACTATATAAAAGCAGCTTAAATACATGTCTAGATTCTAGCTTTTAAACTTTTGCCCCTTTATATTAATTGCCTTTATCAATATTGTTCTGTATTATAAATTTTATATGGGTTATATATAGAAAAATTATCGAAATATATAGAGTGCAGGGTATATGTACATGAGCAGCTACAAAATGAATGCCCTCTCTTAAATAATCATTGAAAAATAATCCAGAGATTTTCTGGATTTTTCAGTTAAATACTTTCTGCTGTTAGTTACCAAATATCTGCCATTTAAACCATCAGAATAAGTTTCATTATAATCTGAAATGGGAGTTTCTGCTTTTAAAATTATAATTAATTTTATCAGTTAAAGTTAGCCTACAGCTTTCCTATTTTGAAATAGACAGAAATAAAGTGTACTTGCTAGTTTAATCCCTGATTTGATAATTTTGGGTAGTACAGATTTTCTGCCTCAAAGACTTTTATAAAGGATACCTAATTAGTTTGGGCCACAAATAATATTTCCTCTTGACTAGAATACTCAATTTGAATGTAACTATGTGCTGTTCTACCCTACACCCAGAAGTGAAGGGGCCTATCATTTTAACGCATATATAAGAAAGTATATTTATAAGGTACATTTAAGAGGAAAAAACATTTTGAACAAAATAAGTAATAGTGGCATGCTGTTCTTAACATGTGTTGGAAAATTTTTTAAAAAGCTATTTATCAGTATGGTTGGTTTGTCAAAAGTCAAGTCATGGCATTGCGATATGAAAGGCCTTGGCTTAATAAATTATAGAGCGAGTAGCATCAAAATTAAAATCCATTCATCTTAAGGATACAGAGGTTATATATAGGTTATACTTAATAAGCCTTTTCAAAAAATTTAGGACCAAGTGAAAGGAAACGTTTCAACTTCATAAACTAAAATAGTCTCATTTATGCTGGTTTTGTGTGATTTACTGTGATTAATGCACAGGAATGGAATTAAATTGTACCATTATAATTATGTTTTCATATTAATGGATTCAAATATATTCTCTCCCTTCAAATCATAACTTCTTAATCTTTTTGGAGGACTAAGAACGATTTGTTTTTGTCAACTGTGTATAAAATATCAGGTTTGTTAAAAGAATAAGTAAACAAGCTTCACCTCAGAATTATCCAAAAAATAAAAGGAAATAAAAGATCAAATTTATTTGGAATATTTTGGTTTTCATTTAAGCTTTGTGTTCCTTTAGGACTAAAAGGTCCTTAGGCTGCAATTATTAATATTAGAAAGTTTATGCCCTTATTTGTACCTTAAAATTGAGATTAGTAGTTCCTTCAACAGCAGATATAAAAAGCAAGTGTACAATGAAATTTTCTTCTACAATTACTAAATAATTACAATGAAGCCAATATTCATAAATAAAACTGCAATTGTTTCACTACTTTCATGTGAATTAAATCCATATTCTTTTGGTCATTGTCTATATGTAAGAGGCAGTTGACATGGTAAACAAGCTTCACTATAATTAAAGACTTCATCACCTGAAGTCATTTTCCACTGGTAGTTTACCTCATCAAACAATATTTATTGGATATCTTACTTTGAGATCTAAGGCTACTATAATCAGAGATTGTTATAGACCTATAACAATGTCTCATGAACATTTCATATGGCACTTCAAATGCATAACAGAGAAATACCCTCTGATAATGTAGCTTTTTAAGCCCATTAGCTCTTGATCAATTTTTGGCTACAAATAAAGAAAATATATGCTCACAGGTAACTGTTTTAGGAATGTGACTATTCCATTAAAGGCAATGGTTAATTTTTGGATACCAAGGAACATGATTACATTTGCCTTCTCTAAAAGAAATGTGACTGTTGTCATTCACTTTGAGACGGTTGGCAGCATTTACCAGTCTAGATGGCATGGAAAAGTTGTACCTATAAAAACCATAGGAAGGATAGAAAGAGCAACCAATTGCTTCCCGGGCAATGGGGTTTGGTGATAAAATGTTTCCAGGTGACTGTAATCCATACAACATTTGATTGGCAGAATTAGGAGCTTGTTGACATTGTCCATTGAAGTCTTCAGATGAACCATTTTTTGAATTGGTGACCCCCAAGGAAGATAACATGGGAACTTCCATCATGAGTGGGGCTAAAGACTGAGAACTGTTGCTGCTTGCTAGCCTTTCAGGAGCAGGCAAGATAAGAGGCTGTTGTCGCCAAAAATTAGTTGGGCAAATCTTGTAGCAAAGGGGCAGGTTGATATTGTGTAGGTACACTTCTGAACAGGGCATTCCAAGGGAGCCTGTAGGTATGTGAAACGTAGGAGGGGAGCAAGGTGGAGAAAGCAAAGAGTTCAAAGGAGAGGGAGCCCCTCCAATAGAGGTCACTGGAGATGAGCCACTGCTTCCACCTGCGAATGACAATTAAGTCAATGAACAATGAACTTGATGTGCCTACTGAATCAGTAATCATGTTCAAAACTATCCTGCTTCATTCTTAGACTGGCTTTCTTTGCAAATTCACCATTCCTTTAACTTCTTTGGAAAAGAACATTCCTCTGACCAAAGTTGAATATAGTATCTCTACTACTCCCACTATTAATTTTAGCATTATTTTTATGTATCATGCATTGAGCATTCACTGTGCTCTAGAACTATATTAGGCACCTTAACACTATTTATTCAGTGAATTACAAAAGAAGCCCAATTAAATATGATCCAGATAAATCATATCTTACAAATAAAAGCTAAGTTTTTTAACTTTAAAATATTACTGAAATAAGCACTTGACTAAATTAAACAAATTGGTTGTTTGAAACTCTATAGAAAGCTTCAGTCTGATTAAAAAAACAGTGCATATGAAAGTAATCTTTACAAATTGAAATAACATATTTAAATACATTAGTTTTTTTCTTACATGAATATTGCAGATGAAAAAGTTCCATGGTTCACTATATCAAGAGTTAAAAACACTTTTGCAGTTTAAAAAATATGAAGATGAAAGTGCTCATATCGACACTGTCAGGTGATCTTTTATGGTTGCCTAGCATCTACTAAAACTAGAGATAATTATAAGGTCCAGGAAAATCTAGAATCTACATCTTATTTTTATAAATGTTTGAATTTTTTTTAAATTGGTTATTTACAAAACCTAATCAAGTTTTTGTGTTTTTTTAAGTGCTGCTGTTTTTCTTAACCATTTTTGCATATAGACATAGTCTAATCCTTTATCAATAGGGTGGCAAATATCTTTTATAATTAAACATCAAAAGTTATTTTTTTAAAAAACTTGTACCTTTTTTCTTTGCAATTTGAGAGCATTCTGGACATCTTAAATAATTAAGAAAACTGTGTACTTTAAATTATCAATCAATGATCATCTTTAGCTTTTTTATTAGTGCACTTTATGTTGATTTAGATATTTTAAAAGCATGCTGCCTAGATACTATTTAAGTGATACTGTCAAGTAAGTGCTCATATTTTTCTACGCAACTCTCTAAGCCAAATTAATAGTCAATCCAATGAAATATTTCACCAAATGATTAAAATTGGTCTCTTTACATTTCAATTATTATAGGATCATGTAAAATTCAACCTAACTATAATGTTGATGATTTTCTCCATATCTGTAACCTTGAATTAATGTTCAAAGAGAAACAACTTTAACGGAGTAAAAGCAAAAAGGGTAAAATAATTCCATATCACTTACAAAAAAAAAGACTCTTCTATTTATTGTTAAATATCAGAATAAATAAAGGTATGCATTCTTCCACCAGAAAGCCTGCATTGTCTAATTATTATGTAATTATGTAATGCACTACCTGAGATCAAATACCTTGCAAACGTTTTAAATGCTTATGGCAATTAAGCTAATTGTGATGGCTTCATATTTTTTCAAAATTTATTTTGCCTACTCACAACAAAAGGAAAATTAGAGCCAAATAATGATAAAATTTAAGGGAAGTCATTTTTATCATGTGCTGAAAGTTTCTCATCAAAACTTAAAATGTTTACTTCAATATCTAACATATTTACAAATAAGACTACTAGTGCACTACAGGCAGATCTTAAAGAATATGAGATGAGAAGAGATGCTGGAGAATCCAGGTGATTTCTGGAGCTCTCAGGATGTTTGATAAATCAAGAAAACAGAAGTCAATAAATCCACCATTACTATGTTTGTGCTCTTTTTCCTTCATGCCAGTTACCCTCCCTTTTTTCTTCTTACCTCCTCATCAGGATAAGTATACACCCACATGCTTGTATACACACATTTTCTGGCATGTACTTATCCTCTTATGTAGCATTTGTACAGAGGTTTTTGCTGTTGTTATTTCATCAACATTTAAAAATAAAAATAATAAAATTTTTCTTACTTTGTGTGTCTGCACCAAAAGTTTTAAAATCCAAAGTGAGAGAAGGCCTCCATGGGTAGGTCTCTAAAAGCCCATCCAATACACCCCTGAAAAAGAGATTCAACCTTCAGCAAGTCAAGAATGCAATTCATGAAAATAATCATTTGTGTAAATTTTTGAATTATTTTGTTATAGTTTTTAGGGGTGAATATCTGAGATATTTTTCTTTTATAATTAACTTCTAAACAAAATTCCCAGTGATTATTCCCTGAATAAGAGCCCCATGAATCTAGAATAAGCAATATCTTAAAAATGGGTTGGGAAGGGAGTGGGAGTAGGTAAGATTTTGGAGACAAAATATCTAGGTTCTTTTCTTACCACCTATTAGTTACAAAATTGAAGGCCTCTGAGTCTCTGAGCCACCATTTCCTTACCTGTAATACTTGTGAAAAGGGCTATATAAATATTAGATGTGACTGTAATGTTGCTTACCTGTTTCTTCCAGGATCTCTAAATCCTTTCGCAAAAGGATTCCTGTCTATTTTCAGTTTGGTAATCTATGAATTTAAAAGAGAAAGAAAGATAAAGTCAATGCCCTCAGCAGTAACACTATCACTGTTGCTTTTAATGGTTACAACAACCACAAAACTTCTCAATGTGTAACATGGCATGTTAAATAAATATAAGCATATTGCTAAGTCAAATTTGGAATGTTTATCTCCTTTCTCTCTTGGAACTCTTTGTTCTGCTCTCCTTTCTAACACAAGATGCACACAATTCATAATCAAATTTGCCTTGGTGATCATGCAATAAGACTATGAATTTCTTTTCAATCATGGAAAATTCGATTTATATAGTGCAGCTTCACACTATCCCAAGTTTCTCTGGAGCCATCCCTGCTTGCCTGGGGCCTAATTGGTTTTACCTGCTGGTTTTGGTAAGCTGTCACGGTGGTGAACTCAGTTTCTTTAAAGGAGAATGTTTTAACCCCTTCAGCAGGCAGGGACTGAATCCGTGACATGTCAACCCTGCTGTCCTGCTTCATCACGTGAACACGGGGCTTGTACTTGTGCATGGACTGCAGAATGATCTGGAGGAGAAATCATCAAATGCTGCCTGGAAATTGACTTCCCCTCCCCGACACTGTCCCCCTCTCATCAGCACTCCCAACCTTCCCACACAAAAGTGAAGCTAAACCAGAAAGCCTAGGCTAGCCACACACAAGGACTTTGCCATTTGGCCCTGCACGGAGGTCCTTGAGGCTAAGGCATTTCAGGAGCCAGGCATCACAGCAGCACGGGGCAGCAGTAATTCCATTTCCAGATGAGAGCTTTTCCTGCTTCTAAATATGCATGACCATGTGATGTCCCTAAATGTCATTAGTATCTGACTACCTGTCATAAATTCCCTGGGCTAATGTAACTGATGGGCAATCATTTGACATCCCCCATCTCCTAATCCCAGGAGCATCTATTTTCTTTTTGTGGCTGGCACAGGGCCAGGCCAGGCAGAGCAGAGGTGGGGTGCACCTGGGAAGAAGTTTCAAGATCTAGGTGACCTTAAAAGGCCTTCTATGGCGGCAGGTTGTTGGGGAGATTTCCACCACACCATGCCTCACAGAAGATGCCTGTCAGAGGAAGCCAACCAGAGCTCACAATGCTTGCCAGGGAGGCTGAAGTTCCAGAGAGTTCAGGGAAGCATTCCCTCCCACTCTCTCAGACCAGGCATTCTAGTTTGAACAAGCCTCATTTGATCCTCAAACTCCCTTCACTCACCATCCCCAACCCCCAGCACTCTCAGATGCCAAACAAAATTCACAAGAGCTACTTTAGCCACAGGCCTAGAACTTGGACAGTTCTTAAGATCACAACTAGAGCATCAGGGAGACACCTCCTTGGCCTCTCCAGGGCGACTCTCACTCTGACGCTTTGGTATTCCCCTCCTCTCCTCTGGGCAGAAGATTGAGAACACTTACGTGGCCTTTGTCGTCCATCTCATTGTTGGTGAGTTTGACTCGATCGAAGCTGATGATCTGTCGCATCCAGGTCTCTCCAGAGCAGGGAGAGTCCGGGTGAACATAGAACCTGGGAGTGATGCATGAGTGGTCTGTATTCCCAGCTACCATCCACTGCGAGCTATGATACACATACCTGAAAATGCGCAAAGTGTGGCTTTAGATGCAGCGAGCCAAAGCCAGGAGTGTGGGCTGCTGGCATCTCATTCTTAAGGTCTCGGCCCAGGTTTGCCCACTAATCTCAAAGGTAAGTAGTAAAGATCCAACTTGATTTCCAAAGAGTGTTCAGAGACAAAAAGCAAACTGTAAATAAGCATATGTCACTAAAATGTAGTGAAGTGCCAGGGCAAGTATAGCGTCCATGGGATTTCAGAGTCTGGTTTGTATTTTCTCACAGAAACTGCAACAGATATTGATCTAACTCATTTTACCGTGCAGAGACACCTGGAAAATCCTGGTGTCTTGTGTCTTGGGCCACAAGAGTCATGGAAGGAGCTGAGAGATGAGAAGAATGTCTGTGCAGCCTACAGCTACCAGTCCTCGTGGAAGCTCTTTGGCCAACAAAAATTCACATCAGAATATCCCCAAGGAACTCTCCCCTTGGGGCCTCTGGGCTGATTTCCACATTGTCTCCAATCTCAGCCTCTCAGTTGTGTGCCGAATTCCCCAGCCAGATCAAACATGAGCTAAGCAAACAGCTTGTGCTATTTCCAGGCTGCGACCCCAGCAGGTCCTTGAGCCCAGCCTTCTTTTTGCCCCGCAAACCCAGAACTGGGGGAGAGGCAGGCTGTATCCCAGAAAGGCTAGACACCCACTTCAGTCAAAAGCTCACAGCCAGAGTGCCGGCAGCAGCCGCCCAACCCCCATAGCCCTTGAGCTAAAGCACTGCCGCCCAATCCCCATAACCCCCGAGTTAAAGCACTGGCAGACCAGCAGAGCTTCTGGGTTGCGAGCACAGAAAGCCTGTTGACTTTAAATCAGTTTGGTCACTTACAGCCTGCTCTAGGTAGAGAGCTCTCATCAAGAGAAAGGTTATTTGATTTTCCGGGACCTGGCCTCTGCTTCAGCAGAGGCTAAGGAAGGACAAATGAACCTATGTGTAATAACTTCTAGACTAGCTTTGGATGACAAATCAGGGCATCACTCAAGGACCCTGCTGCCAAAGTAGGACAGCCCAGAGCCCGGTAGGGACCCAGAAGCCCAGGAATTTCTTCTCAAATTCCTTCAAACAGCTTTCCTCCCAGATGCCTGAGTCCACATCCTCTGCAGTTTGCAGAGCGAAGGCCAGAACAGTGGGTCGGCAAGAGGCCTGGGGTACACTGAAGCACCAATTGGAACCTATGTTTCAGGAGTGAGAAGAAAGAGGAACAAGTCTGCTTTTCTCTCAGTCTGAGGTCTAGTTTGAGAGAGAAAATTCAACTCTCAAAGCCCATGGGAGAGAAATACCCCCTCCCATGATAGAATTTTCAAAACAGTGCTTTCAGGTTCCCTAGATCTGAATCCCCATTCCCAGCCTTGGCTTGGTACCCTCATTTGAGCCTGGTTACCTATAGCGTTTGGAATCCACAGGCACCATATCGATAGCCACATAGTACTGTTTCCCTGGGTCCAGCCCTTTCACCTTGACCCGAACAGAGGGGAACATCCTCCTGTGAGAGAGAAAATGAAGACTGACCCGAGTACTATTAGAGACACTTGGAGTTGGGCAGGGTTGGGGACAAATGAAAATTGAAGGAATTCACAACACGTTCTCCACTCTAGGACAGGTTAAGGAAATATTTGCTACACAAATTAAGATTGTTGGTTATATGCTTGATTGAACAAGGTCAGGATTTCTGAGTGGATCAGAGTATCCTTACCACAAGGCTTTGCCCATCCCACTTTCTACCACCACCATAATAAAAAGCTATAGAAGAAAAAGTAGGAGAGTAAGAGTTTTGCCCCTCCCTTGAGTTTTCAGTGATACTTTCTGTGAGGCAGATATGGGAAAGACTGAAATTAGGAAGATTCACACACACACACACACACACACACACACATAAAATTACCCAGCTGTGGTGAAGAAGCTGCCCCACAGCAAAAGCTAGAAGAGGAAAAGGCACACCTCAAACTGACTTGGGCTAAAGACAGTGGGCTGGGAATCTGCTAGATGGGATATTTTCCACTGATAACTGTGAGGCTTTAACATGGCCTGGCCATGGCTTAGGATGTAGGGGTAGCATCTGGCACCTGCCTTGGCAGGTATAATTTTTATACCACACAGGCAAGAGCTAGAAGAATGAGTTCTTGGAATCAGGGTATATAAGAAAGAAAGACTGAGACACTAACATGGGCCAGGCAAGGACTAGTTTGCTCGACTGAGGGGCAGTGGCTTTCTAATACCTGTCTGGGATAGGGACATGGGGAGAGGGGTACCAGAGCATAAAACTGGAGGCAACCCTCTTATGACAGCAGAACATTAAGTGCCTATTGTGTAGGGCCCTTGGACAGCTTGGGCAAAGCCGAACCTGCCCGCCTTGGTAATGATCATCTCAGTCCCAATGTCATGGAATCTCTTCCACAGCTCGGATCCTTGAAGCTCCACTTGGATAGCATCTTTCTCTTCCAGACTTACGCCGCTGTTGCGGTCGCCGCTGCCGCCTCCACAGCCTGAGAAAGTAGTTGCTAAGGGTTCTGTCTTGGGTCGCTTTTCTGCTGGACACAGAGACGCTGAGAGTTTGAGAGAGCGTCACAGTTCATGAGCCCCCTTTTCGCTGACGCCTATCTCAAAACATACCGGCCTAGTCTCTTCCCCGGGAATCTTGGCTGAGGTCTCCAAATTTCCCACAACACCCGCTGTGGACCCCCGATGGAGAGAAAGGGGGCCCAGGTCTGCGCCCTGTTTGACCATCCTCATTTTCTCGGAGACTTTTGGTCCCCAACGCTGAATCCCCTTAGGAACTGGGTGCATGCCCTGCTTCCTACCTCGAGAAACAGTCCGGTTCCCAGGGCTTCAAAAGTCTGGAGAGTCTCACTTTACAAACCTGTGCGGACCCTCTCCTTCACCGCAAAGGAACCATATAACACTAAGGGGCTGAACTTCGAGGCTATGAAACTTCCCCTACAGCCAGATGTCTGAGATATTCCCGCGGCGCCGAGCGCAGCTCTCTGCTGACATCCTATGGTAAGGCTAGCCGCCCTCCAGCAGCGTCGCTGGGCCAGTCTGAGACTTTCTGATCCAGCAAGCCCGGGGTAGCGGCTCAGGGATTTGGAGCCGCAGTAGAGGTACTTACCTTGTTGTTCGTTCTTCTTCACTGTGGCGCTGCTCCTTCTCTCTTCTTCCTCCTCCTCTCCACCCTCTTTCTCCAGCAGCTCAGGCTGTGCCTCCTCTCTTGGGTCTTTCAGTTTTCTTTTGCTGGGTCTTCCCACCAAGGCTTCCACTGAAAAGGCGTGCGCCCGAGAGCTCAGAGCCATCCCTGGAGAGGGAGAGGAATATGCGCTAGGCAGAGTTTCAACCTGAGCTGGGTTAGGGAGGGAGGGTGGGAGGGTGCAGATGACAGGCAAAGGAAGGAAAGCAGAAAAATCCCCAAATCAGAAAGACACTTTCTAAAATCTATATTCAAAGGAAGAAATTGTGCGTGTGTATGATGTTTTTATATATATGTATAGTTTTTCTTTAAATAGACAGAATGAAAGGAGAAGAAGATTAAACTGGAGCCAAAGTCCTCTGGAGTCTAGTCCTCCTTCTCTTTGCGGTCTCCTCCCTCCCAATGGGCATGTGCAGACCATCAGCCCTCAAATCCCTGATTCCGGGACCTGGCAGAGTGCAGAGATTGGCAAACGCGTCTTTTTAGGGAGCGGACCTGCCGCCAATGGCGGCTCAGGCCGCTCGGATTGGGAGATACTTTTGCATAGGACTGAGTGAATAGCCGGCTGGTCACAGCCTCCACTGTTTGTTTTGGAAACTGTTGGAAGCATAACAAAACACCATGAGTGGCACTTCAGAGTCTGACGGGGATGAAGGGGCAGTACGGGGATGGAAAGGGGTTGGAAGTTGGCTAGAAAGGGGCTCAGGGTAGTAGGGAGGAGGGCTATGCAAACTTACTGTTTTACATTAAATTGTGAAACTCAAAGACATGCGAAGTAATCACCACGAGGGTGATTACTTTGGGTGATTTCTAACAAAAGTGAAAATATTATTTAACCAGATCCAGAGAAGTGTATAAGGGGTCTTTTACTCCTAAGTGAATGCACTGGGGAAACAAAGAAGAGCACAAGCTTTCTTTTTTTAATTTATTCTTCAGTCTGGCTCTCAAACTAGGTGAGCCCTGTGCTAGTCTAACCTCTATCCAGGTGGGAAGATAAGGGTCAGGGCAGGTAGGAGGCTCCCAGATGCCCTCTTTCAAGGATCAAGAGCAAACCTGGGCCTTCAAGCCCTGCCTCTCCTGGAGCCCAATATTCCCCCACACAGCCTCCTCTTCCTATTCTTCTGACTTTAATCAGCAAACACAGCCTAAGAACTCCAGGGCCATCAGCAGAGCACTAAGCAGAATTGTGCTCCCAAGAATGTGGCACTTCAAAATGTTCTGCTCAGATAATTGATTCCAGTGTCTCCTGAAATAGCTTCCTGGAATAAGTTTTACTTTTCCTTAAAATAGATAAAGATATCTTGTCTTTGTGCCAGGAAGAGACTTCCCTACCACTTCTAAGGGGCATGTCTATGTATGCAGATATGAGATGTCTGACTGGGTAGGATTTGGTCATCCACTTTTCATCAGAAATAAGAAATCAGGCACCTCTGGCCTCTCGCAAACTGCATCCTAACTACTGACATTTTTACCTTTTCTGAAAGATTATTCTGTTCTCCTCTGACACAGTTTGTTCTAAGGACATTTAAAGTCTATTCAACTTTGTTAAAACTAGGCTAGAACTTCTATGAATTGATACTATTTCAGTGCTGGAGTTTGACAGTAAAAGACTTTTTGTGGCCCTTTAGTTTCAGCTCCTCAGATACAAGGGTGCAGTGGAAATGGTGGTGGTGGTTTGGAGGGTGGGGTGAGATTAACTTCTAGCTAGTCCATAGAAAGGAGATCTTTAGGAATCTGGTAAACTTTAAACATCTGATGAATTATTTCAGGTACTATGGCAAAAGGTTGATTACAATCTGAATGCTGCTGAAGGGCTTGGTTTAATAATCTGCTCACCCTGCAGGGCTGGGAAAGACACTACCCTTACCTTAGAGGGGTGTAGTGAAGCTCCCTGTAAAGCTAGTATACCAGACACTTGAGCTGGAAAATTCAGGTCTGTGAGTGATCTTGGACACAACTCCTTGGACATTTATTTCATTCTGCAGCTATTGGAGGGGAGGAAGAGGATATTAATACATTTGTCCATCTCTTCTTATTCAAAAGATAAGTTTTCTATCCATTGCATATTCCTAGCTGAGAAAGACACAGCTGAAAAACAGAAAAGAGTTATTTTATTTAATTTTGAGTGCTAATCACAATGTATCACTTGCATCAGTGTTTCATAATATAAGCATTTTCTTGCTTTTGAATCCTGGCTAATTTTATTGCCAGAAAGCAGGAAATTGCCTTGTGTATCAAGGGAAGATTCTGTCTGGTAGTTTTTCTTAAAACCAGGTTTCTGTAAAAATAAGGCAAAAATGTTTGTTGCCAATGTCTGTTTTAGCATTTCAGACTATCTACTGTATGATGGGATTTTTTAATCAAGGAAATAGCATATATTGGGATATAAATTTCTTTCTTAGGAGAAACTTCTTCCTAGATACTAATTATACACATGTAATTTAGTCATCCAGGACTTTGTATTTTGTAATCTGAACTTTTTGCATTCCCATTTCAGTACCTATCTGATGATATGACTGGGAGAAAAAGGAACCCCCATGTGTATTGGGCTAAGATGTAGTCAATTCCTGTTAACTTTTATTTGAGAGTAAAATTATTGCAAGGTTCAGGATCAACTGCCAAAGCACTGAGTTGTCAGGTACCAAGGATGTGAGGGGCATATATTTATGACAGAAATTCATTTTTCACAGCTGAAAGTCTCTTTTAAATATTCTCTTTACTTCAGCCAGGAACTCCATAAACCTTTATAAGAGATTCTTCAACCCATGTGGAACATGCAGAGAGAGGCTCTGGGACCCACAGATGCCCACATTAGAAAGAAGAGAAATTTTTAAAATTGACAATTGGAAAACCCTTACAGTAAAATGTTAACTTTAAATTGCCAAAAAGTTATCACTAGGAACACACAGAGGATTTATCTCTTGAAGAAAAAATAAATTTGTGATTAATATAAATCAAATATATTCAAAATGTATGGAGATACAGAGGATATACCTGTGCCTTAAGGGCTATATGGTTTATAAGAGCTTTTATTGGATATGAAATCTGAACCTGTTTTAAGGAAACAGAAAGCAATTTGTAATTCTCTAGCAAAAAAAATCAACATTTTATTAATTGCTATAAATAGGTATATGAATTAACATATGCACAAAACAAGGTCAGCTCTGAAGATAATGCTTCTGAAGAACTGTACGTGCATTAAAGTAGATATTCAGAATTAAACTAATGTACATGAAAATGTTACATTTCTCAGATATTTATGACATGTCAAGGGCAAAGATTCATGGCCTCTCTAGTTTTCTGTATAGGTAATATGGGTATATTTGAAAGAAACTAAATATGACTGTAGGGGAAAAAAAATCCTGTGTTCTGCAGTACTTACTAACCAAAGGGATGATGTCAAATCTTTATGAAGGGATTCCAATTGCCACTTTTAATTTAGAAAAGAAAGAATGAAACAAATTAACTGAAATAAATCAATAAATACTTCAAATATATACCTATATTAAGTATAAATAAAATAAAATAAAATAAAATGCTTTGAGACTGGTTGTCACCTAGTGCCACACTTTGGCAAAAGTACAAGCAACTTCATGAAAGAGATTTTTTTCCTCCAATTGTTATTCTTCTTCCTCGTCCCTTGATCCACATTCCATAAAGTTAAGATATTTTGGCATACTTCCAAGCTTGTAGAATGTGAGTCTGAAATAGGTTGCTCATGATTATTTTTGTCATTACTTGGGAAAAGCATACCAAAGTCAAGAAATGCAGAAAGTCTGTTTCCTCACAACACTGTTTGAGTACCAGAATTATACACTTTGCCTTAACTAGCTAAGTTACTTGAATAAATAAATTATCTTTGCCTAAGTGAGTTTCAGCTGTGTTTTCATCACTTGCAACCAAAAGAATCCTGGCAAATACACTCGTCTTGATAAAAATTTGATAAATCACTTTTTTCCCCTAGTCCTTCTTCCTCTTTTCTTCCTCCTCCTTCAATACTACTGGTTCTGTGAATTAGGAAATTACGTGCTACACACTACCCCAGAATCATAAAACTGGAAATTTTACTTTCTACACAAATTACTAAGACTATGATAATTAACAAAAAAGTATAAAGCTCAAGCAGTATAGCATGTAGAAGGACAGAATTTGAATTCAGACTGACCTGATTCAAATTCTGACTTTGCTACTTTCTATATGAGTGACCTTATATAAGTCTTTTTAAAAATGTTCAGTCTCTTAATTTTAAGGTTTTAAAATTTTGTTTTTGATACCTTCATCATAGAATATGTTTCTGTAAGTGTATATATCTGAGAGTATTAAAATAATATACACAAACTACTCTGTATAATGCCTGGAACATAGTAAGCACTCGCAGCTGTTTTCAACATTAAAAGAATGATGGAGGTTAATTTCAAGAATGTGTTAATTTTTACGTTAACCATACAATTATAAATCCTTTGTGGCCTGACATTAGACACAGAAGAAATTTGTGCCAATACTGACACCCTCAACTTTTGTTTAAATCTTAAATCAGATTCAAAAGTTCAGAAGTCTTTAATCAGCTTTCTTAAATTTGAGAACCATTTTAATAAACAAAATTGGTGAATTAAAAAATATTGCATTTGAATTTCAAAAATACATGAGAAATATATATGTTAGAATACATATTCTGGTCTGATTTTATCAACTCAATCCTTCAAAAGATTATTTTTGATATTTTACTAATGCAATGTAAGTGTATGTTCTTCTTTTCATAGTAAGTAAATAAAATTTATTAATTAAAGGCTCCTAACATAGAACTGTGTTGTCACTCTAGGAAATTAAAGGAAATTGGTCTACTTAATATTAAAAGTAATTCTCACACTGAATTCCTCAAATTCTGGTAAGTTTAATTCAATACAATCATTCAAGAACTCTACTTTAATGCATCTAATAATGGAGTAATAGATGTCACACTTTGTAATCTATGTTCCCAGGTAGAGGAGGGGAAAGAGTGGGGGGTCAAATACTTATCTTTGTTCATTGCATTCTCATGGTGAGGACTAGGAAACTAAATGTTTATTCTTCCCAAAACATTAGATGGGGGAAAATTGATTCCTTTGA